GTCTCTTCTTCTGCAAAGGGGCTTCCCCCCTCTGAGTCCGTGCTCGCGGAGTCCGCGCTCCTCCTACAGGTCCGCTCCGCCTGCAAGTCTTGTTTGAAGTCCGCTGTGAGTGTCAATCCGTAAATATGGGATCTCCCCCAAACGTCAAGCTCAGGGCACAGCGCTCCACCTGAGTCGCTGAGGCCGCGATCCCACTCTGCTAACCTTGAACAGCACTTCCGGACGCACCGCATATTTCCGCCCGCATATCCGCGCGCGCGCTCCAACAGACCTCTGCATCACCTCCGACCTCAACTCAGACAGAACCCAATCCATCGTCTATCTGTCTTCTGACAGTCTGCCAGACTCCAACAATATTCCCAGTCTCTGACAGCATCCCAGATCTCTGACAGTATTCCGACTCCGACAATAATCCCGTCTCTGACAAGAACCAAAACCAAACCATCAGAGAACTGGGTCAAAACCGAACCATGGTTCGGTTCTCGGTTTGGTCCTGGTTCGAACCAGTTCTCTGAGAACCATGGCACCCCTACTCCTAGCCCTACTGAAGAAGGATAAACATCGAAGTTTGCATGTCAAGGTCAAAGGACCAGACCCATATAACAGTGAAGCCAACTACAATAAGTTCAAAGTTTGACTGGCAGGAGTAAGAACTTATTTTGAACTAAACAAAGTACACAGATGAGATGAGGTCAAACACCTCCAACACATGTTGAGTGGCAAGGCCACAACATGGTTTGTATCAACTATTGCTCTGACTCTGCAAGATTGGACTCTCAAATCAGCTGTCAAGGCACTGTTTGATGAATGTTTCCCACCAGAATTCCGACAAATTCAATGAGATCATTTCAAATGTTGGATGCAACATGATTCCTCAGTTCAGGAATATGTCAGGGAAATGGACCGCATCAGAAACAGAATATGCAACATCACAGATAAGCAGTTTGTGCAACAGGTGGTTCAATGGACTGGATCAATACTATCGCATCAAATTATTAGATTATGGGTTTAGTCCTGACACTGGGAACATAGATGATTTAAAAGCGATCACCATGAATGCCTGAAAGAGCCAAGAAAATGGTCAGATATGAAGAGAATCACAAAAGAAACCAGAACCGACAAGGTGAACATGGGAAGGACAAGCACCCACCTGAGAAAGAAAACAAGAAATCCAAAAAAGATAACAAGCCCACTAGGCAGGGTGGAGACAAAAAAGAAAAAGACAGTGACAAAAGGTCTGGAGGGTGCAGGAGCAGATCCTCAAAAACAAAACTATTGAAAGAAGAAAGTGATGAGCTAAGGGCCAAGGGCCTATGCTCTAATTGTAAACAATCAGGTCACTTGGTGAAGGACTGCCCAGTAACTAAAGAGACCCACCCCCTCATTTCAATATATTACCTAAGTACGGAACCCCAAAGGTTTCTGGACAGCTCCGACATCCACAAGCACACCCCTGCTTCTGCCAGGCACTCAGTTGCCTTCCCTGCAGGTCTACCTTTGGGCTGATCCCTCCTTTCCATTTCTGGGTTATAGCCCATCACCCCACTAACCCCATAACCCAACTCATTGGTAATATTCAGTCAGCTAACCTGTAACTCCGTTAGCTCCACTCTGTTTGGCCCCACCATTTACAGGCCTGCCTCCTATGTAACTATATATACATAACTTGTAGATAGGTTACCCCTTAGTGATAAAATCAACTAGAGTTTCCCCCTCTTCTAGTTTCCTTGCCAGTCAGTAAATTAGGGCACTGTCATATCCGTGCATACCCGACCCCGACCCGACTTCCGGACCTCCACCCTCTTCACCTCCGGAGTCATAACCTACCGCTGCCGTTCCAATACTCACCTTCGGTCCTGGCAACACACCTCCTCCTTACCTCTCGCCATGCTCCTACTACTCCGCTCCCCCTTCACAACACCTCCACCCTCCCATTATCCTCCTACGCTTCCCCCGTCCGCTCCGATACTCACCTTCGGACCTGACTACTCTCCTTTCCGCCACTCCCTCTTCCTTACCTTTCCCCTCTGTTACTCCTCCGCCACCCTTCCGCCAAGTTACGACCTTCCACTGCTGTTCCGTACTTCGCACTCGGACACCGCTCGTACCTTACTCCGAGCCTCCATCATAGTCCCTACCTCGGACTTTGACTCCACCTCGGTCTTAGTCCATTGCATTGGTGACCTCATACTACATAAACACCATTGCCAATATCCCTCGGATTTTCAACCCCGCCTCCGTAACCTCCATAAGCTCCGCAACCCCTGAGCTTCATGGACCGCTGTCAGCGACTGGATTATTGTCGGAGTCGGAATACTGTCAGAGATCTGGGATGCTGTCAGAGACTGGGGATATTGTTGGAGTCTGGCAGACTGTCAGAAGACAGATAGACGACAGATTGGGTTCTGTCTGAGTTGAGGTCGGAGGTGATGCAGAGGTCTGTTGGAGCGTGCACGCGGATATGCGGGCGGAAATATGCGGCACGTCCGGAAGTGCTGTTCAAGGTTAGCAGAGTGGGATCGCGGCCTCAGCGACTCAGGTGGAGCGCTGTGCCCTGAGCTTGACGTTTGGGGGAGATCCCATATTTACGGACTGACACTTACAGCGGACTTCAAACAAGACTTGCAGGCGGAGCGGACCTATAGGAGGAGCGCGGACTCCGCGAGCACAGACTCAGAGGGGGGAAGCCCCCTTTACAGAAGGAGAGACTCAGACCAGACAGGGGGGTACTCTAGTTGATTTCAGACTGAGGTCCCCAAAAGTATTTACAAGGTATATAAATAGGCAAGAGGGAATATAGAAAGGCCGGTCAGTCCGGCGCGGAGATAAGCGGGAATTGTCAAACTAAATAAGGACAAGAGCCCGGGAACTGGAAATGAGGAACAGATCAATAAACAATAAGTGGCAAGGGTTATTGATGAATAACTGAATGAGATCAATAACCTAGTGCCAATAAAGAGGGGATCAAATGCCAATATTGGCAGGGAAGCAAACAATGAATGGCACTCGGCAAAGAATGAATGACAAGCTGCCAAGTGACAAATGGCCAGAGGAAAAGTGGAGGTCAGCGCGTGGCGCCGATACAAGTCCACAAATAAGCGGGGTCGGTGCGGTGCCGACACAAGTCCGCGAACAGAGGTTGATCTGCCAGCACTGTCACACAAGGACAGCATGAAGGCCAACAGAGGTACAGAGGTGGGCAGAGGGTGCGGAGTGGGCAGAGGGTGCGGAATGCACAGAAGCGGGGCATGGCTGTGACCACATAGCGGGAAGTGATGAGTGTGGTTCAGATGGAGACAAGGCAGGCATGACTGAATGCCGGGAGCGCCAAGGGCTCAGGAACTGGAGGTAAGGTCGGAATACCGGCAGGGTCTAGGTTCTGATTCTTGGCCAAGTCTCACACAGTAAGGCAGGGGGCCAGACATGGGGTTGGGGGCTGGTTAGGATGGGTTTCGGGTCGGCGGATTCGCCTATCGGCATTGGTTCGCCGCTGACGGAGCCCCGGGATTTGTCGGTCGTGACAGTCTTCGGCACTCTCACCGCCTGTAATGTATTTCTCGCATTTTCCCTTCATCCCTATTTGGACTACTGCTTCTTTCTATTCTAGCCAGTTAGTCATCATCCCCACTTCCCCTCATCCTCCTGCCCCTCTGAGCCTCGCCCTCCCTACCTCCTTTCGGACGTATCACAGGTCCTGCCCTGTGACCTTCAGTACCGCTCCGCTCCCTCTACCCTTTGTTCCCGTTCGGACGTCTTCGTTCCGATTCGGTCACCCTTTGTTCCCCTTGTGCTTTTGCCCCTTCCATTATATATATCGGCGCTTGTACATACTCGTCTTGGTTTCAGTCCGAAATCGACCTGAAATGCCCCCTAGAGACTTCCTGCTCACCTACTGTGAAATTAAGGACCAAATGGACAAACAGCAATGGCACAGCGCTCCGCTTGAGTCGCTGAGGCCAAGGTCCCTCCACGCTAAGTCTCCGATTCCACTCCGGAGTCGTCCGTTTCCGCCCCATTCTAACAGGCACAGACATGTTACTAGGCACAGCACTCCTGGTTTAGTCACTGAGGCCAAAGCCCTCTGCCATGGGGATGTCATCTTCGTCCCAGATCTGGTCTCTGACAGAATATGTTATTAACAACATTATTCAGATATGACAAGGTAAAAGAGCAGGGTACCAAATATGTCAAGGCACTTGATGCAGACGTAGTTGACATCTTCTTGGGGTTGGGGATAGTGGGATGGTGTGGAGGAAGGATTGGCAGCTTTGAACTCAAGGTATAGAGTAACCAGGTTGCCCAGCCGCTCTCCCCAAGCTGTGTGCAGTTACTGCTTAGGGAGTAGAGAAGACATCACCATCAGGAGTTGTTTGCTCAAAAGCCCTTCATCTTGAAACAGCCCAGCATCTGCCATTGCAGGTTCATCCACCCAGTCACCTTGATCATTAGGCTCAGGTGCAAAACCAGTGTCCTGGAGCTCCTCAAGGTCCACTCTAACTTCAACTGATGTCCCTAGTCATCAAGCTCCATGTTTGTCAGTGAGTCCAACATGCCACTAGCTCCCACATACCTTCAAGGATTCTTGCCTGAGTCTCTACCATATCGAGTTGTGCCCTCTTCTGAGCAACTAGTCCATTTTGTTCTAACCTCCCTGTACCCATCAAGTTAGTTAACAACAACGTTCCACCATTTTTTTGTCCATCCCATCAGAATGAAAGATTTTAGCAATGCCTGGAAAAATCAGTGTAGTTAATGTTATTCCAGACTGAGTTGGCACTCACGAAAAGCAGCAACTCAAGGCTCAGGGGCTGAGCTGGATCAGAGTGTGTAGAGCAGCACTGGTACTGTGAAAACAAAGCGTGATAACTGTGTGGCGATGCAATCAGGGAATGTTCAAACCACACACTGTCATGCCACTTGACACCCAACACCAAAGCACCATGTCCAAACCGAAACTGAGGGTAAATGAAAAGAAAATGGGCAGATGATAAGAACTCACCATGATTCTAGATTCCACCTTGCATCCTGAAGCCCAATGTGTGTTTAACAGTTTCGTTTGGGGCACTCAAATGAGATATGGGCTCACTGAGAAAGAGGTGAAGGGAGTTCTTCAGTTAGTTAGTGATAAGTTTGTCCAGGACTTCAGCCTTGCTTGTCAAGCCAGTGGTAAGTATGTAAACAAATGTAAAAATTCTGCAGAAACTCATGTTCCATAGACTGGATGCCCATTTGGGGCCAAATGAGCCTAGAGACAATTGAAAAAAATGTGCTGACCCATGTATTTACTACAGAGATCAGTGCCAACTTGCTGCCCAGCTTGAGGAGGTTCACATGTCTGTGAGTGATGCAGCAGTGATAACTGGTATAACTAAAGAAATTCTTGCATCATGGAAACAGGCAAATATTTTGGACCACTTGGGACAGCCAGGCATCATGTTGGTTGATGGTGGCCAAACATTGCCTGTGACGATACTGGCCTCACAAAGTGTTGAAGAAAACAAAGGGTGGGAAGCACTGTGCAGCGAGATCCTACACCAGATATCAGGGCAGATGAACAAAAACGTCAGGGCATCAACTGAACCTCCTTACCACACTCCTGCTTCTCGCCCTTCCACTCAACTGGGGATTCAACAGGCAGTCATGGGGCCCACGGCTCTCTGTGTGGACACTGCAGTAGCTTTGCTAAGGATGGGGAGGTGTGCACAGTCACAGTCATGTTGGGTGGAATCACCAGTCTGACAGAACACTTCGAGGGCCCCACTCCCTTCTTGGAAGATGCCTGACCCTTTAGCAGTGTCTCAGGTTGAAGACAGGAGACTTACAGTCTCCAGTTCATCAAGTATCCATGATCAAGAAGCAGTCTCCACAGAGCTGGCTTTGTTCATCAATGAGCTCAACCTTACCACTAGCAGTTCTCTGGGAGGCATGCCAATGAATCCCCCCAAAATCATTCCACCATTCACTCGGTCTGCCACTTCATCTTACTTGACAGAATTTGACACTGTGGCCACAACCCGAATTGCACCCAGCATCCAGTCCAACTCAGCTAGGCCCACTGCCACTCCTAGCTCCACTTTGTGGCTTCAAAGTGTCACATTATCAGACCAGGCCAGTGCCTATGCTGATCCAGAACCTAGAGTGTCAACCCAACGTCATTGTTGTGGGGACAAGTCCATGTGGGTTAAAACAAGCCTCATTGCACACTTCACCCTTTACTGCATCAGGGATTAGGATTGGTGAGTCGGGGTAATAGTAGGAGTTGTAGAGGTTGTAGAGGTGGTTCTGACGAGTCTAAGATCGTTAGATTTGGTTGGGTTGTTGAGGAGATATGACATTTTCTTTATTATCTTTACTATTGTCATTCATTCACGCATGTGACTTTCCTTTTCTATTTGTATTGGACTCTTCCGTGACCCACTGTACAGTTTGGTAGAGAGTTATCAGCACCGTACTCCCAAGGACCATCCTACCTGAGAGATAGAGAGATACCTACCCCCCCCCCCCAGACCTGAGTCACAAGTCTAGTTGGATAGACCTGTTACATTGTCTCCCATTAACTCAAGCAAACCTGGAATGGTTGACATCATCTTCATTGAGTAGAGTACCTGACACTCAGGGGGTTGCCACATGGGCAGGAAGTGAGTCAGCACTTTCATCATTTGTGAAGGTGCATACAGATTTGGGGCCCAATGAAGTTGAAGTTATTGTTCTCATTCGCAACTAAAAAACTTCAACATTGACAACTTCCACTCTATGCTCATAACACCCATACTTACACAGAAGCCAGCTTGCTTGCCAATCTGGCAGCTGCAGGGCAGAGCAAGTGATGGAGAATCAGCGATACTCCCATGTTACTGCCTCCTAAAGTCAGTGATTTGTGCTCGAAAAAAGCCTGTATTTTCGCTAAATTCAATGTCTATCATTTTTCCTTATTCCAAATATGGAAATAACTGTTTACCTCTATTTGTTTACCAGTTTGAATTCCCAGTTTATCCAACTCACTCCCAGTGCAACCAAGCCCCAGCAGATGTCAACACTGCCCACAGGTTCACTGATGCAGCCCGGATTGGGAAGTTCAAGGAGTGGGAAGTGACACGCTCTGACAAAGTCAGGGGATAACGCGTTGGTTTCTGCCCCACTATTGAACAATGTGAATGCTTTGGTCCCATTGATCTCAACAAGACCAGTCAGGGTGCGACGTAAGTCGGCACTCCGATCGGTAGAGTATTTACCTGCCTCACACAAAAGTCTGAACTTTGCGTCGAACATAGGCGGGTTTTTCTTTGTTATTTTTGCTGGGACTATATCAGTCTCCGGCTTTGGGAGAGGCAACTGCCCCTCAGTCTTAAATCAACGAACTGGTTCGTCTACCAGCTCAGTGACAATTTGCTCTTCAGAGAGGAGCGAGTTGGCTCTTTGAGCTGACGCTAACTTAAGGGCATAGTTGTCCTCAGATGGGTCAATAATACCCATCCCCTGTAAACTTAAGCGCCCGAAGACGACCTCGTCTTCAGGTTCGCTGACCGTCTCATCAGGAGGGCCAGCCGGTTCGTATGGGTCCTCGACGAATCGATTGTCAGGATTGCCATCTTCAGCGGTAACTTCTTCTTCTGGGGCCTCCCCAGACGGATCATCTTCATCTCCCTGACCCTCTGGCTCGTGGGGAGGGTCTTGGTCCTCTTCTACGCCCAGAGCGTATAATTTGGCTCTGGGTGGATGGTTTGGACACTTGAAAGAGTATCCAATCTTGCCACATTTGTAGCAGAGGGGGTTGCCCTTCGAATCCTTCAAAGGGCATCGTTGGGTGTTATAAGAATTACCGGTATTTGAAGAATACCGGTTGTTTGATGAAGAAGGGGCCTGGAGAGTCCCTTTGGCATGTGAAGAAGGTGAGCCTGTAACAGGCTTCGTCGTGGCTACAGCAGGCTTCTTATTACTAGAGTAAGAAGAGAAATTCGGATAGCCCCTCATTGGGGCTATCCTAGGAGCAACTCCCAATGATCCCCTTGTGGATGGAGTTGAGTTGTTGGATACACTCAACTTGCTAGTCGGGTGTGTATTGGTTGATTTGGAGGGGGCAAGCCCTCCTTTATACATGTTTATTGCATGCATTGAGTCCATCATGTTGTCAACGCAAAGAACAGCCGTCCACAGTTCATCTTTGGACATGAAGTCGACCAAAATTCAGTCACGTAGTACGAGCTCTTCCCTTATATGATAGGGGAGAGCATTTACAAAACACTCATTGAAACTTGCCTGGTCAGGGCAAGTGATCATCTTCTCCGATGCTCGGAGAAGCTGAGTATAAAAATGCTTAATCCCCTTTGCAGGGTCATAAGCGAGCATTTTGAAGAGTTTGGTGGCAGGTACTGCCGCTGACCTCTTCACATATGTGAGCATCAGCTTTGTTAAAAGCTGAGTAAAGGTGGGGATGGTCCCACTCTCAAATCCTAGCTTCATTTCGTGAAGCACAATCTGTTTAGGATTGCCATCTAGGGCGCGAGCAAGAGCATCTATGTGGAGCTCGTTGTAGCTCTCGCCCTTCCACCCATTTCCTGAAATCCAGGAAGTGAGTTCGACAAGCCAACTCTCGAATTTTTCGAGATTGTTCTCCCCAGACCATAGGGTCATGGGGAATGGAACAGAGTTTTTCTTTATTGCCATTTGCAAAATTCAAGGCAAACTCCGAAATTCAAAATTCCGCAAAATCTTTCGCATCACTGCTCACTCAAAACTCGACCGATTTTGGTGATTCGACATGCATTGGAAAGCGTCCGAGTAGCGCTTCATGATTGTTTGGATGGCGCAGCAATATGAGAAGATTTTTTTCTTGCCGATTTGCACATGAATGGTGGAATAGTATCGTGATTTGAGTGCAACGTTGTGCGCACATGTCCTTTATTTAGAGCTTTCTGAACATCACCACATTAATATTAGATTATGGAGGCAATGGACATGACATTAGCACTGGGGATGAGTCTGCCACCAAAATGCGCGACAAATTGGTAAATCATCTGAGTTCGGATTCTCACAACTGTACAGTTCCACCTCTCTTCTTACTCCCATCTACATGTCCACATGGTCACAACAAGAGGAATGCGACAGGCAGCAGATGCGCCACCACTGAGCGAATCTGATCCCACCACCACTCACACAGTAGTGACTGTGGCTAAGCCCATCATGGTGAATCAGAAACAACGTGGTAGGCGTCGAAAAGTGGCTTCAGAAATGCCACCGCCTGAGATCATCAACCCCCTTCCTGTGGGCCTGGCGGTTGAGGAACCAAGTGAGCCCCAGGTTGTTTCCTTGGTTCCCGCCCTTGTTTCCCCCATTCTCACCCCCATTTCTCCTATTCTCACCTCTGCCGCTGACCCTCCCGTCGTGAGGAAGACCAGAAAGTCGCACACTAAAGCCAAGGCAATTGAGGCTGACCAAACAGAGCAGATCGGCATTCCAGAGTACACAATTGCGGTCACAAATGCGCAAATAATTCAAGAAATGCCAAGGCACCCAGCAGTCCTGCCACTTTGGGTGCAGTTAACCCAAAAGAAGTTATAAATGTCAAGCACGAGAACAAAAAGCTGCAAGTTGCAGCAAAAGTTTCCGCTGTCAGAGACCCGATTCGAGATGAAAGAATGTCTCCGTAACAGAGGGCTTCGGCCTCAGCGACTTCTGCCAAGAGCGCTGTGCCTAGTGACACGTTGTAGGCGGGATAATCGCCCACACGCAGAGCCGGCTCGGATACCCGCTTCCAACATTCAGAAACCACTTCCATTCACGCGACAACTCGATACGAATTTGGTATCTAAAAATAGTCCTAATTCGTACGATTCTGACGATACCAAGAACATCCCAATCGGTGGAGATTTGACGGAGTTCCGTGTTGGAGAAGTTAGGCACAGCAGGTCACGGGCATGTGCGGGCGTGGGAATCTCAAGCGGCAACCCAGAATTCCAGCCTCACTCGTTCCCACGGCGTCTAATAAATTGGTAAAAATGTTCATCGGCTGCGTGAGAGTTATCTCCGGCTTCATTTCCAATTTCGGCTCTTAATTCCGTAAATCCGTTGAGATATCGCTTATTTTCTTATATTTTCATATTTTGCCATCATTTCAGATATTGATTGATATTCTTTTATTGTTACTGTTACCCTTTTTTTATTATTTCGCCTAATAAGGTATGCAGGTGCCATATGGTACCAATATTTCTCATCAATTATTCTAAAAATAATTGTTCCTTATATCCTGTACATACCGGATTTTGGAATAGAAGTTCTCCCCTCCCCCATTTTCTCTAAGGTGCTAGGACGCGCTAGAGAGGGTGTGAGTGAGTGGAATTCCAACAGTAGGAATAAGGGCAGCTGTCTAGCTCACAACGAGTGAGTAGTGGACGCTGAGCCCGGACCTTGCGGAAATCCCGGAGAACTCACCATGGAGTTAAGGATCGAGAGTTAAGCAAAGTCTAGTCAAGAAGTAGGAGTTTAGGGAGAGTTTGGCCCCACGAGCTTAGTCGGCATAGAGAGCCGCTAGCCCTCTTTCAACGTCCGTGCCCTAACTTACTGACTGGCAATTAGAACCTAGGGGGGGTAACTCTAGTTGATTTTACTACTGGGGTGTAACCTATGTACAAGTGGGATATATATATGGTTACAGCGGAGACGGTTCCGCAATTGGCGGAGCCGAACGGAGCGGAGCTAACGGGGTTTAAACATTAGCCGACTGAATATTACCGACGAGTTGGTTCGCGGGGTTAGCGGAAAGGCAGGCGATAACCCAGAAACGGAAAGGAGGGATAGGCCCGAAGGTGGGCTCTGCAGGGCAGGCAAGTGTATTGCCCAGCGGAGGCGGGGGTGTGCTAGCGGACGTCGGAGCTGTCCGGAAGTCCTCGGGGCTCCGTACTTAGGGAGGCATAGGTAATAAATTGGAATGAGGGGGTGGTGACCATCGAGGGGTACCGAGAGGATTGCAGAATACGGGGGCTCCGAGGTTAGTGAGGGAGGAAGCGGAGTTGGACCGGAGGGATCGGAGGAACCGGAAGTCGATGGCCGGGGATGGATATGACATCCGCAGTCATTCCTGACTCCGACTATGCGATGACGAGTGAACTTGAAGATCTGTCTAGTGATGAATCTGAGATCACTGGTGTGCTGGGTGCAGACGATGCTCCAGCGCTAGTCCAAGAGGAGGCAGTTGAAGGTGAGTGCCAACTCTCATTCCTCACCCCGCTGAGACTGGTGTCATTCGTGTTTACCTACTCCTATAGACTACATTATAGACTTCGAAGTTGAGACTGACGATGTCATCAAACTTCTTCGACTACCCATATCTATGTCATGGTGGACATTCCAGGATCAGATTGCTGAGACAATGGGCTGCCATGAGACCCGGCTACACTTGGGCTATAGGCTCAGCACTGCAAGAGTGGGAGAGAAGGCACACAGCCTTGAGACACTGGATGAGTATTCCGAAATGCAACAAGAAATAGTCTCGGAACACGAGAAACGGGTGGTCCTCCAGAAAAAGGCGTCCAAGATGAAGCCTCCGAAGGCATTGAAAGTATTGATCAAGGACAGGCAAAATAAGGCTGAAAAAAAGGTGTGAGAGTAGATAAATGTTCAAAAATCTCATGCAACGCTAATACTAACAATTTTATAAGACCATCGCAAAACCAAAAACTGCCTCAAAAACTTCTTGTGCTAAGCTCAATAATAGTGCCGATCCAGACTTGGTCGAGTCCACATCGGCAATGTATATGTGGCAACTCACAAACAAATACGGCAACTGTAATCAACATGGCTGTTTTGTCCGGCCTGATGGGACTCATCGGCACTTGACCATTGCAGAGCTCACTTTGTGGGCAATTTCCATCGTAAGTCTGATATTGGTTTGCTTGCTATGTAAAACTTATGAATACATAGGAATTGCACTGTGCAACCCTCTCAGTTCCTCCTGACTCGCTCAAACTTTCAAGTGAGAACGATACTCGTCCGCCCAAACTCAGCAAGTCTAAACAAACACCTGGTGCAACATCTGGTTATCCTCCACCACCAATTCCAGGTGCCATGTGGCCATATCCCACAGGATTTGCGCCGTTCAATACCGCCGTGCCTCAGGCATATGCAAGTCACGATGCAGGTGTAAATCCCGGTGCAATTCCAATCCATCAGTTCGCATTTTAGGATGATCTCATGTGTTGCTCACTGTTGCTTCTGTTTATAGCACTAAATTTACGCTACATGTCAATTGAAAGACTCCTTGAAGTGCTTGATGAAGAAGAACTGCCGCCAAAATCTCACCTTGCGATGAAGTACAAAGAGCAGTTTGCATCACATGGCTTTCACACCATCTACGATTTGACTGATACCGATTATCTCAGCCCCAAAGTACTCAGTGAACTCCTTGAGCCTAAACCCCCCTTTGCAACCTGTGTATGCATTATAAGGTGTGCGAAGGATGAAGTACAACACACTCAAGATGCTTATTTGTCTGGCAATAGGTCGGTTCTCATCTAGTACTTGATTTCACAACCGCTTCACACCCTCGGTTCCCCATTCACACTCTTTTCCCGTGCAAATATATACCTTTCATGTAAATACCTTGCATTTCTCATTTAGTTCGTGCTCCCCAGGTGGTGGATGATGTTTAGTAATTATGACCGATCACGTGTTACAAGCCTTGCCTGCCACTGTCACAAGCAAGGGGACATTGGAGCCACAACTCCACACCACCTCAGCCATCATCCTCCATTTCACATCATGTATCACACAGGCCCTGATGGGATGGGCGATAGCCTTCATGGCCGTGAGTTCGGAGATGCCACACAGGCAGGTTCATCAATAGCTCATGCCCGCTCATCCTCCGTAGCATCGACCAGCTCCCGTCACCACTTAAAAGGCTACCAGACCCCGTCCTCTTCATCACTAAACCTAACTAGCCATTTTATGTTGCGAAACCGGTCTCATACCCCAGATCCTCTTCCCTTAGCCACATCACCCACCTTGTCAACGTTTTCAAGTCCGTCTCACATGGCGGTTAGCTTTGCAACCTCATCCCACCTGTTGATTACCCCTCCCCCTACGTCTCCGCCTTGCCCTCTTAGGCGTTTGCGCAAGAAGTTGCGTCCACAAGATTTCGACCCCAATGCTGCGAATTCCTATTCTGGTGATTCGTCGGGATTGCGCTCATACACTCCCTTCAGCTGTGTCGATCAAGATCAAGATCAACCGTTATTCGATGATATTCCTGAGGAGCATGTATCGGGTACCATCACTCCATTACCGGTGTGAATAAAGTCTCCGAGTCCCCGACTGATGTCCAACGATTCCCCTGCTGCTTTTCCGGTTCCAATGCCATCATCTCCACTGACAAAAGCCCCATTGCTTTCCTGTATCAGCTCCATGAAACATTGGCGATTGCACCGATCTTCTCAGACCAGCAAAGATTTCGCTGGAGACATTTCTGTCGATTCCGGTACCAGCATCCCTTACCAACCACCTAAAACACCAGAGCCATCTTTCTCACAAGCTGTCACCCCAGCGTCGCCTTCAACGAGCCGAAATTGGCTTTTTAGGATTACTCCTAGCCCCAACTCAAAGCCAACGCCAGATCCCGGGCTCCATCTCAGCAACAGCAACAGTGCGTATCCCACGTCCTGTTTCAGGAAGCGGAGCTCAACCACTGCCAGTTTCATTCACCTATATGATCTCGAAACTGGCACATGTGTCTACATGAACTGTATCAGCGGCGAAACTGTCTTCGTTACTGCAGAACATGAGGCCACTAACAGTATTATCGGGGTTAATAAGCAGGGCCCGGTGTTGAGTGTGAGCACTGACGAGCAGACCGTCATCCCTTACATTCTTACCGTTCTGAACAACACTGAGCTGGCGGTCAAATTAGCTAGCCGGGCAAATTTACCTGGTGCTGACAAGCTGTACATTCAGCAGTATCAGCAGCTTTTCGCCTCCAGCCAATATAGTGAAGCTGCCAAGATTGCGGCCAATTCGCCAAGAGTGAGTGATAATTCGACACTCTTATGTTGTTACGCGCTGACGATTGCTCTCAGGGCATTCTTTGTACACTACAAACCATAGAGCAATTCAAGCAAGTTCCTGTTCAACCAGGCACTCTTTCGCCCATATTTCAGTATTTTGGTATTTTACTCAAGAAAGGCAAGCTTAACAAGCATGAGTCACTTGAATTGGCACGCCCTGTTCTTGCCCAGGGCCGTAAGCAACTGCTTGAGAAATGGCTCAAAGAGAACAAGGTAACAACTCCTCATCCAGCGTGAGCATAGAGGTTGACCACATAAATTGCTCCAGCTTGAATGCACAGAAGAACTTGGTGACATTGTTCGCTTACACGACATGACCCTCGCTCTCTCGGTATATCTTCGCACCAACATCCCCAATAAGGTTGTCGCATGCTTTGCCAAGACGGGCCAATTCAACAAGATTCTATTGTACACGAAGAAAGTCGGCTACCACCCTGATTATGCAGCGCTTCTTCAGCACATTATGCGAGCGAACCCTGAGAAGGGTGCCGAGTTTGCAGCCCAGCT